CGCCGACATGACCGAGCCTGCCGCTATTACTGGTACTTTGTACATATATGATATTTCTTGTCATGCCTTGTTTGATACCGGGGCTACACACAGTTTTCTGAGTGTGGAGAAAACTGATGAGTTAGCTTTTATGGATGTCGATACTACTAGTCGATATCAGATACGTACGCATCTTCTCGAGCTGGCAGATGTATCGGTTCAAGGTAGGATACTCCAGTACCTCGATCTTCCTTCGCAGAGAGGGGCGAAGACCAGCAACAAACTTCTGAATCTTCAATCTTTCGGTAGGAACAAGATTAGCTCCATATCGTAGGAGCCTAGTAAATTCCGCCTCATAGTCACCAACAGAACGGTCACCCTGCTGGAGATTGATGAACTCCACGAGACGATGTTCCTGATCATGTCGCTTGTAATATTTCTCCTCGAACTCAGCTCGAAACTCATCCCACGTGAACTGATGTCCAGGAATAGTGTCTCGCACAACTCCATCCCACCAGTGGCGAGCTTGTCCGAACAGATGGTGACTCGCTATCTCTGCTCGATACTGTAGTGGACACCGTAGATAATCAAAGTCATGTGTGATCCGCACCAACCAGTCCTCAGCAACTTCAGGAATCTGAGAACCCTCAAACCTCGGGGTGTTCATGGCCCGAAGTTCCTTGATCAGTGCAAGGTAATCCACGCCTACTGGTGCGTGAAACGCCGGCAGACCTGGTGGAGGTGGTGGTGGAACATACTCTGGTCTAGCCGCAGGTATGGCTCCAGCTGCTGGAGGTGGCATCTGACCCTGATACTGTTGCCACATCCTCTCGCAGAACTGTCGAAAGTCCTCTGGCATGGGGTTAGGGATAGGTGCTTCCGCTGCCCCGAGTCTAGGCGCAGGTCGTGCACGTCGTGGAGGCATAGTCACTGTAGACATTGAAAAGGAGACTTAGTCCCGGTGACTTCGAGATCATGCATTAACTTTTCAAAACATTGTCTGTCAAAAATAGAAAACTTTTAAAAATCATGTTTTTGAAAACCTTCTCAAAACATTTTTACTGATATCAAGTTTTCGCATATTCTTTTCCGAGGAAAGAACTGCTCTGATACCAAATTGTGACACCCGTAACCCCGTATCCCGCTTACAGGTTGTGCCACGTGGACAATAAAATCACAATCGGAAAATTTCGAAATATAAACTCGCGGGAAAGTTAAAACGATCCATTTTAAATATAATACAGCGGAAGACATTATAAAATACATCAATACGTTCGCACACGCTTGGAACGGTACCAGTACATAATACAAGTGGTGTGAAAACTATAACACAAAAAGTTCGAAGATCACCACTCTTTATTTTTGAAAACAGAATGCGTTAAAGATAATTATACATGATCAGGAAGTCTAGCTGTCACCGGGTCCCGTGTCTGCCTCAGTCACTGTTGCTGCTCACGACCTGAAACGTTGCATAACAACGTCCTAAGCTACGTGCTTAGGGAGGAATTCGGGTGTAACCCGAGATTTCTATTTTTATTGAAAACGGCCAAGCAATATAGTCAATAATATACATATACATGCGACGGGATATTTCAATAAAATCAATCATCATTGAATCAATCAGCATTCTCAAACAATGTCCGTCAATCGTCTCTACGTGTATATCACACGTAGGTAAATACAACAACTCGTTCATGCCTGTGTCGAACACGAGGCGCAACAGCCCAAGCAAAAATCGTTTGCGAGGACCTCAAGTGATCTTCATACTCCTCATCGGTCACCGATATCACGGCTCTCGGTACCGGTCATCCCATACCCACTCCAGACATCGATCCCCGATGACGCCGACTGCCGGGCGAAGCAGCTCTATGCTAACTCCCCCTCGCCGACCATCCGCCTCGGAAAA